CAGAAATTGGACGGTGGTTGCTGGGATAATGGAAGGAAATCGCATACCCGCGCATACAAGTAGATTTTATCAATGATGATTGTCTATCTAGTCTATTCTCGAACTAGCTGTGGGCTGCTGATGAGTTTGGTGCTGGCGGGAGCGGGGGGCAGCGCGTACGGGCCCGCAGGGTATCGTCTACACTCTCACTGACGGTACGCCCCCGCCCGTGAATGAAAGTGTCCGTCAGATTGTACAAGACCTAGCGTGTAGTCACTGCTGTTTTCGGAAGGGGGGGTGTTGATGTGTCAAACGCTTTGTCGTGGTCTAAACGGATGGCGTTCAGCCCCTTCAGGACTTCAGAAAAGAATACTATTTTCACCATGCCAACATGACGCAGAGTTTTTCGTCGAGGTCGTTCCAGCCAACAACGGCGAAACACGTCGGCTCTACTGCTGGCGAATCGATTTGGACGCAAGGCGAACGGCCGACGAAGGAAACATCGAGTACTACTCCCAGCTCTGTGCAGTCTATACCTGCCCAAGCCTGGCTTGTAAAAAACAGCGCATGGTTCGTCATGGCCGTGCAAGAAAGGCAGGGGCATAAGAAAAATACCCTCACGCCGTCTGAAGCTGGCGTCCATCGACACGTTCAGCAATAGCTTGCAGTAAATCCAGCAGGCTTTTCGCCGGTAGCGAACGGTCCGGCCTGCGACACCTACATGTCCGAACGCAGACTGGGACGCGCGCCATCACCACACCACAAACAAGGATTGTTTTCGCCTTCGTCATCCGCCACCAGCGCATGGTGCAGCACTGGCCTGGATCAGTACGATCGGCCGCGTCCCACGACGGGATATATGCGGACGGTGGTGGTTGGAGGGAGTCAATGTTAGAACCAAGGGGCTCTGATGCCCACGTGCTGTGGCACAACGGGTTTGTTCGGGGGTGGGCGTGTTTCTCCGGTCAGCTTCTCCATTGTTCCCCCCCACGAAAAGCGCGCCGTTGTCATAGTTGAGTTGCACCTACCTATCTTCAGCTTCTTACCTCGTTTGTGATGAAGCGTTCTCCACCCATTCGTACCGCCGGGGTGCGTATGCATACGGGGGCGCCAACTGGGCGGTAGCCCTCGGGCTTGCTTGCGGTGACGTGTTCTGGCCGAACACTCGGAGTAGCTGAGCCGAGTTAGATACATGAAATGGCAATATATTTTTGCGTACGGCAATTCGTCGGCCCAGGCTGCGTTTCACAAGCATGAACCAGGATACTCATGTTCTGCATGCCTTAGTGTGTAAGACCATTGTCCAGGGGGGGCGTACCATTATGTTTTACATGCGCTACCGGTTAGACCATTGACCACACGTCCTCGAGAGGACGGAGCATTGTTCCAACAGGACCGATAACCAATGGCCAATCGTTCCTTCCTATTTTGCCATAGGTGGTCTTCCCAAATCTATCTATCCTATCGATATCACTTCCCGCCTTTGCAACCCACTTCCTATGCCCCAGTACAGCTACCGTCTTCTCCCTGTACTTTTTGTTCTCCTTTTCCCAGCTCAGTCATGTACACTTCCCTCTCCTTCTTGTACAACCGACATTCCGCAACTACATGAACACTGTCTTCGCACTCGGAGCCGCAATCACGTTGGAACTTGGCGTTTTCATCGTCTACCTTCCTAAATCTTCGTCTACGTTCTCGAAGGCCGATGTCCCGGTCCTGAATTTGACCTTCAGCTTTGTCCTTTCATCCATTGGTCCATGTAGGTACTCCTTGAACCCATTCCTTCTTTCAACATTCCGTCTAGACCCTCCTTATCCTTGGTTTCTATTCTTAGATTACAGATGGCGCCCGCACTTAAGAACATCTTAATTTGCGTGAGGCTGAGGTTCTTAGTTGCCTGTTGAGGCTGCGAATGGCCATTATATAGGTTTTAGTGTGAGGTTCTTAACGGGGACCACTAAAATACGCTCATGTTCATGAGTTTTGGATTTTTTGAGCCTCATGTTCTTAACAGGTAGGTTCTTAAGTGCGGGCGCCATCTGTATGTTCTCCTCTCTCGGCAAAAGCAGCAGATATCTTCTCCCTCAACCCTTCTAGGCCTTTCGTTTCCAGCGTATCACCTTCGTCGATTTCGAACCCCTTTTCATACGTCGTCTGCAACCTTGACCCACTCCGTGGGTTATCTACTTGTCTCCTTCTTTGCCCGCTTCGCCTCCCAAGCTATTCTCGGCAACCTCTCCTCTCCCGTATCGCACATGCGAAACTGCCATGTCAGCGTCCTTGCGTCTCTTCCCCATCGTAGGGATTGGATCCCCAGTTCTGCCCTGGCGACAGCAATACTTGGGGCGCTTGGAGCATCCTAGGGTGACTTTCGCCCCTTTCATCTGCGCCGCCTCGACCTCTTTGACTACCTTCTTATTTCCTTCCCATGCCTCTCCGGCATACTCTACCGGCGGTACGATTACGCTCTTCAAAACTCTCAGTTTGATGCGCGCATCGAGGTGCCGGTTTGTGAGTATTGGGTGCATCTTCCCTGCTCGTGTTTTGCCCTTTCCGCTACCTTAGACATTTGTCCATTCCACGAGCAGTCTTTTACGATCTCTACTCCGACATGTGTGTACTGATCCACTACTGCAAGCTCCTCGACCCCCTACTTCCATCAATACTTTACTGGTTTCTCCCTGTTTTCGTTGCATGCCACGGCGACGGCACTATTCGTAACGTTGGCAGACTCCACTTAGACTATCAGTAAAATCCTTCGCTGCGTCAATATGCAGTTGAAGTCCCTCAGGGGTGTCAGACATCCGAGCACAATCATCCGCAAACAGCATTCCCGACGCCCAAGTTTCCGCTACCTTTACCCCCTTCCCAACTGCCTTTACGACTTTCAACAGATTGTTGATAAACACCTGGAACAATGTTGGGAACAACGTGCAACCTTGTGACCCCCTGCTCAATGTTGAAGAATTTAGACAGCCTCCGTGCAGAATGACAGCGCTTTCGTCATCTTCTTCAGCACTCTCCACATTTTCCCTTTTATCCCATGCTTGGGCAATTATTTCCACAGACCATTTCTCCATACCGTACCCTATGCGTTTTGCGCGTTCAAGAAGGAGCAGTACGTCGGCTTCCCCGCATTCTCTCTACCTTGGATGATTCTCCCTACCGAAAATGCGTGGTCAAAATGCCCACAGACTTCACCTTTTGGGACCCTGCATCATGTGCGTGGTGACTCGGGCAACCGACGTTGCGCAAAAGGGGGGAGTACCGTCCACCCGTGACCCGACCACGAAAGTATCTCCGCAAGTGCGGCCCAGTTGAAACCGCACGGGCTGATGCACCCCAACAGGTGTCATGATACGGCACCTGTTGCCTGGTGTGGTGCTATGATAACCCTCAACCGCAGGTTGTTGTTGTTGATGCTTTCCCGCAAAATCTCATGCCTGAACGTGCGACGTCCCTCTCGATCTCTCACCGAGACACCTCCATTGATCCCCTCTTGTTCTCACGCCGCCTGCTCTTGGCGCTTCACCTGTTCCCCGAACCATTCCCTCCCGCCCCCCCCCCCAACCTCCGCTCAAATGATGGTTGGTTGCCCACTTCGTTTGTTCAACTTTGTTCTGCAGCGTCTCCGCCTCGGTATATGGCGAAAGTGAAGGGCATGTTCTGGTCGGCGGCGCTACGCAGTTGGGCGCAAGAACACCTAAATGAGCGGCCCGGACCCCATGCCCCCGGCCAGAAACCTCTACGTGCTCGGCCGGGCCGTCTAAGGACACGCCGGTCTCACGCATCCGCGCCGGTAGGCTCAGGATCCTGTCGCCGTCGTAGAGCATCTGTGTAAAGCTTTCCCTTCTTCTTCCGCTCTGCCAGTACTTGACCTCCGAGCCTAGTGCGGGTTATTCAATCAAGACATTTCTCTCCATCTTCCATGTGCCTACCTGGAGCTGAAATTCACGTGGGATATGGCCGGTATGAGTTTCAGGCTGTGTCCAAGATGAAAGTAAGAGAGTAGCGGCGATCCCCGTCCACGTGACTAGCCAAAAGTTCGGTAAAGGTGCAACGGGACGGAGGTGCTGCCCAATCCGCAAATGATGGACGACACAAACCACTATCGCACCGGCTAATTGAAGTATGTGGACTAGAATACGAATGAAGATACCTTGGTCTACGCTCCTAAGACAGCAGAAGCGCAGAAGCGGCGTCGGAATGACCGACGGTCAGAGCGACGGCGAGGCCTTTTTACAAATAAAACACAACGGTTGAAAGCAATCAGCCAAGAGTACCTATATCTACAGAAAACAAGTGACCGAGGAGAAGGCAACGTGGGCATGCTACAGCCGGGGAACCACAAAGGCACGTAAAAAGCCACTAGCAGAAAACTAAGGAACTCTTTTTGAAAGTATTCGAACGCTAAGAGAAAGAAAGCTGAAAAACCAATGCAGCAAGGCGACGGAAAGAACTTGCGGAACTCTTTTCTAAAGTGTCCAAGGGCCGGCGACTGCGGTGAACCGCGGAAAGAAAATGGAAAAAAAATTACGGAAGTGTTCGAACATCGACGGCTGCAGAGACTTGGGAGATTCTTGCCACAATTTTCGAAGGCGAAAACAAGGCCAGAAACCGGCAGATCGCTAGGTTTGCGAGAAAGGTAGAACTACCCGGCATATCGCGGGGTTTGCGAGGAAGGTACGACATAACTAACAAACCGGAGGATCGCGGGGTTTGCGAAGAAGATTTACAGCACAAATATACCGACAGATCGCGGGTCGAGCCAAATGTGAAGGAGACTATGCTAGAGGATGGGTCGGCACAATGCAGGGGGGACCGACACTATAATACCAGAATATGGAAGCCTCCATGGAAGGTATGGAGGTTTCCATGGAAGATTTCATGGAAGGCGTGGAAGGTGTGGAAGCTGCCATGGAAGCTGCCATGGAAGCTACCATACCTTACACGCCTTCCACGGCCCGAAATCTTCCATGGAAACTGTGGAAGCTTCTACGACCTTCCATGGCTTCCATGAAAGCTTCCATGGATTGTGCCACCGAAGTACCCATGGGAGAGTCTTCCATGGAAACTTCCGTTTCCGTGGAAGCTTCATAGGTCTCGTGGAGGATGCTTCCGTTCCATATTTTCCCGACCCACAACCCAACCCACCCAACCCTAATCCTAACTTTAACACTCACGAACGACAGACCATGTCGTTGGCCAAGGTTAGGTCATAGGTCGTTGGTTAGGGCTAGGTCCTAGCGTTGGTTAGGGCTAGGCTCGGCTGCGCGTCGGCATGCGGAGCACCACCGAAGTTACCTCTACAACCTACAGATGTTTCAGCCTAACTTCTACCAGACCTTCCATGGAAATTAAGCCTCGGGGAAACAATTACCGACGGGCTTTCCATGGAGGCTTCCATGGAGGCTCCCATACCCTCCATGGAAGCTTCCACACTTTGGTATAATAGTGTGGCAGACCGAATGCAGGTGTCACTCAACTCGATCACACGTTGTATTGAAACTCTGATGCTCTTCTTGAATAATTTCCGTGGGCACGTAGGAGTGGAGCTACATACCTGAGAAGGCCCCGTAACTCGCGACGACATTGTTTCTCGACAAGGGGTAGGAGCGGGCAGTGACCCTCACCCGATACCCAAAAAAAGTATGCAAACATTCCCTGGTTACTTGGCTAAAGCACACCACTCCACAGCACTACATACATTGTGACGCTAGCTTGCCAAGTTTGACTCTAAGTGAAAATTTCCGTAGTTAATACTGCTGCCCGTTCCCGTTGGGTGCGACATCCCTCCGCCGAAGCCCCTTGGCGCCACCCGCTGTGTCGGCACGGGCTCTCAAGCCTCTCGAATCTCCTGGACAACATCAGAGCACATCCACAAGGCTTCTACTGCTACAATAAGGGCCAGTACCACGTTGGCCGCTACTAGGGCTCCTGCGAACACGTCCTGGCTAAAGCCGTCGTCCGCCGTGACGTCAACCTTGACTGCCATCGCAACAAACAAGCTCATCATGACGATCGCGTGGCCGATTCTGGCCAGCCACGTGTCCCGCCTGTGTGCGTACGGGTCGAGGACCGTGAACAAAGCAAAGAACGCCACTGACAGCAAGAACCCCGTCATCACCTGCCCGGCGGTGTTAGGCAGGATGAAAATCACCAGACCGGACAGGGTCACCCTGCGAAAGCATTCCACGACCTCGTAGTAATACACGCTCTGTCGATACGGCTGCCACAATGGCCTGAGCACGGCGATGTCCGTGCGCATCGCCTCCTCTTCGGACTTGAAGCCCTTGCGAGCCTTATACAGAAAGAACAAATAGGCAACTGGGATACCAATCGGATAGACCAGGCACATGAAGCCCGCGTACACCATGTACCCGCGGTGCTCGGCTGTGGAGCACTGGATGCGGTAGTCAACTCGTAGGAAGGACTCCCCGGTATCGATATCATCGCATGGAAAAGTCTGAAATACTGTAGAGGATACGGAGGAATACACGAGGAAGGAGATCAGGTATATGAACTTGGCGTGCCTCTGGTTGATCCGGGAAAATCTGTCCGGGTCATCTGCCGGACAATGGCGCGTCCTTATCCACCACGACCCAAGCACGAGCACGGACACAACCACGGGCCCGATCGTCATTGTCAGCAAGGTGACATAGAAGTTGGTGCCGACCCAACAGTCCACCGAGAGCGTCCAGGCCACGTCTAGATCGAGGAAGTCGATGAAGCCAACGAAGGTCGCGTATAGGTCCGGGTAGGTTACGCTCGCCACCGAAGCAAACTAGGAAGGGAAAGTGTTTATTTCGCAGCGGCCGCGAGAGTTAGGATGCTGGCTCTGTGGGGTTCGCTGGGTTCCTTAAACACGGGAGAGGTTATGTTGAGGAGGAGATTGTTGTCAGTTGGTCGTCTTCCGGTGGTTTGTGGCAGTCTGTTTGCCAGGGTCTTTAGGCTCCCACTATAGAGCTTAACAGGGAGACAGCCACCACAATGTTTCGCAGGACCCTTCGCAACGCGGCCAGTGTATCCATGATACAACGGTACGGTTGGGCGGTGATGGACCTAACACTCAGTCTCAGCGCTACACAACGTCAGCATCCCAGTGCATTATCACTAGCCGCCGGATGGCAGCAGAGGCCAGCGTGTTACTTGAAATAATCGAACAATTTCACAATCACATTCCTATGGGAGAGACGATGTAGACTCGGAATCTCTCGGGCGTACGTATTAAGGAATTTGGTTTGCCCAAGTTTGGACCGTGTCGCGTCATTTCCGTTTGATGTGACAACAGAAACGTTTCGTCTCAATAGAAAACCTTTGCGCACGCGTCCAGCAGGAAACGCCACGAGCGTAAAGCACACAGTGGAGCCTAGTAGGACTTCCAGGAGACGTGGGAAGTGAGCCTCAACATATGCAAACTTTTGAGCAAGCCAACCGAATAAGTATTCCACAGCTTCATTTCGGAATTTTGGATCGTGCGTTGAGATGCGTCGGCTGCGGGTACTGCAACCACTTGCCTGGGAAACAATTTGCCACGAAACGATGATAATCTTGAATCCTTGCGAAACCCATGAGCGCCCGAATCGTTCTCGGACGAGCGACGGAATCCGTGCGGCCGCTGACTCTTCGGTAGGCGCGCCCAGATACCCCACGCTCACCGTCACCGCAACAGCAGCCGCAACAAGAAGAATCACCGCCGCCGCGGTTGTCCACTTTCGTCGGTCTTCGTCGCACTCGGAGCAGGTGTACCCCGGCCCGAGGGAGTAGTCCTCTGCGCACTCCGCGCACACTATCGACAATGAAGGGGAACAGGGAGGCAGCAGCAAGCTTGAGTCACAAGAGAACATGGGAACGAGTGAGGAAAGCTTGCCACCCAGGAGCAAACTCCACGCCAGGGAAACGGCCCCTCAGGCACCTACCGGAGTCCAGCTGGGGGACTGGTTGGTCTGTACCACGGAGACACCTGGTGCCCGCTTTTGAGGAAGACCGACGTCATTTGCGACGTGACCGTCACAGCACAGCAACCAACGCCGCCCCGGCATCCTATATGTCGCTGCACTCACATGTCCCGTCGTATCCGACCGCGCAACTCCCTTCGGTCCCTCCGGGGCACGATGTTGCACGAGGGCACGCTCGAATATCTCTGCTCTTGTTGGAACTCCGCCAGTACCCGGGCGCCAGGTTCAGCGACTCGAGCGTACCGTCTGCCGTGAGGCTGTCGGTGTTGGGGAAGGCGTCTTCGCAAAGCAGAGCCTTGTCCGGGTTCATTATGGTGCAGCCTTCGCACTCGAGGTCGCATTGATCGCACGCGATGTCGTAGGCAGACACCTGTAGGATATTTGTTCGTATCGCGCGGTAGTTCACGAAAAACCACGCAACTGCTACATCCATCCATTGGTCGGCGCGTTTACCGGTTTTTGTTGTTTTTTGGCGCGACCGATATGACAGTGTAGTTAAGATCGCGAGAAATCTTCTGGAGCAACCGCCCTGGTATTTTCTTGTCCATTTATATACTGCAGTCCGACACTGTTGTACTCACCTACAGTACATATGTACATTCGAAGGAGGCACAACGCGTGTACCTTTCCCAAATACTAACGTACACAGCAGATCGGGGGGGGTCCTGTTTTTCATCTCATCATGTGCACGCCTACCTCCCTCGCGACGTTTCAACACCGCCTTCCAAGCTTACGTTTGTCCAATCAAGGAAGAACCGATCGTCATCGCACAGAAGCGCATTGTCTCTGAAGTCACTGTCTTGGAGGACGAACGAGACCACGCTCGACACGGCAGAGCCCAGTGCTGCACGATTCTTGCTCAATACGCAGTCGTCTAGCTTCGCTGTGCCCGCCGCGTACAGTGCACCCCCAGCGCCTGGTCTCAGAGTTTGTTGGACACGACAGGGCAGGCCATCGTTGAGCATAGTCTAACACTGCGCCAAAACTTAGTTGTTCTCTCTGCAGACTACCTTCTCCTTTCCACGTTTGCACGCTCAGAGGCTGCTCGGCTCGAAGCTCGGATACTGCAAAACATGATGCTGAAGGAATCGTCCAAGGGATGGATGTTGGGAAAGAAGGGTTGATTGGAAAAAGTTTACCAGGGCCTGTGTTCAGCGCGACCCAGGAGATGAGTACTGGCGTCTGGCAGTGCGGAATTACATTATACCTAGCGTTTTCGTGTGTAGCGCGCTGGCCACCGTCTTGGCCTACCTGCAGTGTTGCCCTCGAAGTCCGATCTGTTGAATTCGACGAATCCACCGGCGATGTATACAGCCCCGCCGGTATTACCAGCTTCGTTTTCGCCAAACGAACTGTTTCGTATTTGTGCATATTCACCGTTCGCCTCGGCAGTCCCCACCGACACCAGAGCCATAGCGCCCCCGTTGGCCTGCGCCGAATTGAACGAAAACGTTGCGTTCTCGACTCTAAAATCATTCACCGCCACCACGTACATGCCGCCTCCCTCACCCCCCGCGCTGTTGTTTGTGAATACCGTCGGTCCTTCGAGGCTTACGGTGGAATCGGTCGTCACGTATACACCCGCTCCGGCACCTTCGACACGGTTCCCGGAGAACAACGCACCACCATCGTGGACCGGGAATGCCAGGTGAGACCCACTCTGCAGGAACACTCCCCCGCCGCTCGTACCGGCGATGTTGTCTTCAAATACGCTGTTTCCCGAAACGTTCACTTCTGATCTGGAGCCGAAAACAGCCCCACCGATGTCGGCACTGTTGTGCGACAAGTTGCAACCAGCGAGTGTCAACACCGAGGTGTCGACGTGCACGGAGCCGCCGTAGTCGGGAGCGATATTGTGCGTGAATATGGACCCAGAGGCGTGAATAATAGAGGTGTTGTATGCCCACATTGCCCCGCCGTTGTCGGCAGAATTGTAGGAAAAACTGCAGTTGTCTGCATTCATCTCGGAACTTCCCGACTGAACGCCGCCGCCATTTCTGGAGGCATTGTTTTTCGAGAACACGGATTCCGAAGCATGGAAAAAGCTGCCGGTGTATAAGTCGATCGCCCCGCCGAAGTTGGCGGAATTGTCGGAAAACTCGCACTTGTCTGATTGCAACAGGGAGTTCCACCCGAAGTATGCTCCCCCGCTGCCGTCGGCGACGTTCCTCGTCAATACACAGTCCGTAGCATTGACGACAGAGTCTAACGCATATATGGCACCACCTTGGGTGGCGGCGTTCCCCGTAAATACACATTCCGAAACGCTTACGACCGAGTCGGACGCAAATATGGAACCGCCTACAGCGGAGGTGCCGTTCACCAACGACAGGCCAGAGAGCTGCAAGGCGCCACGATTCACTTCGAATAAGCCCACCTCGCCGGCGCCATCCACGGTGGAGGATCCATCGGGCAAACCTACGATGGAAAGAAATGTACCATCGGGCACCCGAATGGTCTGTTCCACGGCCACGTTGCCCACCCAGCTCACTTCGAATGTTCCGTCCGAGCAGTCAACGGCCTCAGCCAGCCCCAGGGCACCCGCAGTGTCTTCCACCACGGATGGCGCCACGAGTGTAGACGACGCGCACGGTACGGCGGCCGACCGCCGGCCGGCCAACAGAAAGAAGGGCCCGACGGCTGCTACTGGTGAGATCTTCATTTATGTGCAGACTTGTATCTGCGTCGAACAGCACACAGGCACAACGTTGCGGGTGGTGGTGCTGTCTTAAGTCTCATGGCGCTGATCCGTAAACAAATTTGGAAAATTCGAAACATCAGCCCAAATTACAGTAGTCCTAACAGAGGCCCCCCGCGCCCCCACTGCGCGGTGGGGCCAGACGATTACAGACGTGACAATTAGTGGACATGGTGTGGAATGGGGCTAAGGTACAGTGGTCTGTCGTGTTGAAGTGTAGGCCCTACGTCCTTGCCACCTTCAACTGCATGGACCAAACCCTCCCCCCTCGGCACTCCCGCCAACGATAGTCTTAGCATTCGAGGTCCCGCTGTTGATTCATCAAGGAACAAAATAGGAACAAATCTTCCTGTTATACTTTTGTCCCTTACCCAAATCATTCAATGGATGTACTGTACTGTGTTCTGGACGGCCGCGTGCACCGGTTCAAAGTAGTGCGATGATGAACACTTGTGACGCAAGCCACAAGTGTCCGGAGTACTCGTCCCTGTGATGGGCACTGGGATTACCCATAAGTGCTCGTAGGGGGTTTCCCGAGAAGATGTAATCGTCTCTTGGGCTAATGATGGAAACCAACTGAAGAATTCCGATTGGTTACCATTCCCCGCGCGATGATGAAACGGTTCCTCCGCATGACAGCTTGCAGCGATCTTGCCCCCCAAGCTGTCGGTGACCTTTGAGGCCGGAAACTGAGCCCAAACCCTTTTGTGAACGAACCCGACCTTAGCGTAGGTGAACCGCTATCGCAACTGTGAGTGATGACCCCGCCTGCCTGACTGGATCATGAAGTGTCGTCTGCCTGCTTGGAGTACTACTGCTTGCTCGCTTGTGTTGCACGGAACGCTTGGTTGTTTACCACCAGCCGAGTTCGCAGAGAATAGCTATGATCTGCGCAGGTGAGAGTGTCTTTGCCTGGAATATCGTAGAATAGCCTTGTCTCTGTAAGAATTGAATGTGGTTGGGTGAGGCCTCCTGCACCGACTGGGGGGCCTCGCCGTGAAGTAACTCTTGGGCTGGGCATATCGCTACCTGTATATGCCCCGACCTAAAGCGAGTGTGCCTCCGATTTCGATATGCTTGCGGGTGTATTTGCCTACTTGCCATGCAATTGAAGCCCCTCCGTCCGATTACATTCATATATCATTTCCATCCTCGAGGCCAGGACAAGCCTGCCAAGGAGAGTTTCGGGGCCATCCTCTGCCACGTGCTCCGTGACAGATAACCGCCGTGTTTGAACGGAAACATCATTTGTTCTTGGTACGAGGGGTCTGGCGACTTTCGCCACCCCCGCTCAATAGATCGGTTCCAAGACACGCGATCAACTCAACATACATTCATTCGTGGCAGGTGACTAACATGTAGTTTTCGGAGCGAAAGAAGGGAGCGACCTCTTCCACCGCATTTCGCACGCACAACAACCATTGACCACTTGATCATTGATACCTCTCTCATTTCCTCGTCAGAACACATCCATCCATTGTACAAAAAGTCCGATCTTGACCCATTAGCGCGTGCGTTCAACGAGATATTCCGTGTTTGCAACGCCCGGTGTAACGAGAACCCACCAAAAACAAAACTGTATGTATATGACCAGCACGGTTGCCCAAGCTAAGCTGTGATCTGTACCAATACACAACAAATGGCAAAATAGGTTCTTGGGGCAGTGCTTTGCTATGTTGCTGTGTGGCTGGTTTAGAACAACCTCTCGGCCATCAATTCAGCGCCCTCGTTTCGCGCAGAGGGAGACCGAGGCAAGCAAGGTGCTGCGCGCCGCGTCTCGCGCCCAGAGCGGCCGTGGTTGTGGCGCATGAGTGTATGTACAGCAGCAGTCAGGGCGTGAGTTGCCACATAAAGCAAGTGAGGGGCCACACTCCACGCTATCGAAAAATATTATCCGCGTAGACTATGGATATGCCCAGCAGTTGGCAAAGAAAGGTGCCACGAAGCAGCGTGCCCTGTACCTCTGCCTGTGTGTTCTGAAGTTGTACCCTAAATATCGCTGTATCGGGAACAAGGAAGACGACCCGTCCGTCTGGCGTCGCAAATCTTCGTCCCGCCGCTGCCGTGGCGTGCCCATTCTGCGGCGAGCGACGTGCCATTCGGGATATTTTGTTCCACGGGGTCGAAGGTACGCCTCTTCGTAGGCTCTCTAGCCATCCGCACGCCGTTGCCGAGGCGGGACCTTCCTAAACGCTGGACGAGATCGCTGTGTGGGCGCGTCTCGCAACGGGCTTCCCTGTGCTTGCAGCCCTCCAATCGGGTGTTGATCGGGTGCCATTCCTTCCTCTCGCCCGCGGGCGGTGCTGGGTGACAATCGTCTCACGCTACCGGGGGTGCGCCGTCGTATTCTCTCGGGAGCGGCACAACGAGCGCGAGAAAGGACGAATATACACTTGCGTCGTTCGGTTGGGTTCACGGGTTTTGGAGGCTGCTTTTCTTTGTTGGTGCTCTGGTTAACTAGTACGGTTTGTCTTTACCCGACGGTGTCGGGATGGATTGAGTTGGGCTGGGTTTGGGTTAGGCTCGGGTCTTGCGTTGAGGTTGAGCGAGATGGGTTGCTGCTGTGGTTAGGGTTGAGTTGCATTGCTGGGGTGGTTGGGTTGGGTTGAATTGCGGGGTGGGGGGTGAGGTTGGTGCGCTGGGTTGGGTTGAATGAGTGGGGTTGGGGTAGGATTGGGTTGGGTAGTGTTGGGTTGGGTTGGGTTGGGTCTGTCGGTCGGTCGGGTTGGGGTTGGGGTTGGGTTGTGGTTTGGCTAGGTTAGGTAGGGTAGGGTAGGGTAGGGTATGGTCGGCCGGTCGATCGGTCGGGTTGGGGGTTCGGTTGGGTAGGGTATGGTTTGGTTTGGGTTGGTCGGTCGGTTGGTCGGTCGGTCGGTCGGTCGATTTGTCGGGTTGTGTTTTGCGGTCGGGTTGGGTTTGGTTTTGGGTAGGGCAGGGCAGGGCAGGGCAGGGCAGGGCAGGGCAGGGCAGGGCAGGGCAGGGCAGGGCAGGGCAGGGCAGGGCAGGGCAGGGCAGGGTAGGGTAGGGCGGGTTTGGTCGATGTGGTCTGTCAGTTGGTCGTGCTGTGCTATTGGGGTCGGGTTGGGTTGGGTAGCTTGGGTTCGGTCAGTCGGTCGGTCGGTCGGTTGGTCGGTCGATCGGGCGGCCGTGGGTCACGCCATCGTTGATCACGCCGCCGTTGGGGTTGGATTGGGTTGGGTTGGGTTGGGTTGGATTCGGGTTGGATTGGGTCGGTCTTCTTTCGGTCAGTCGATCGATGAGGTGGGCTGTTCGCACGCACTTCTCCGCGTGGTCGCTCCGCTCCTGCGCGTCACTTCTATCTACCTGTTTGTGGCAGTGTGTTTGGGGTCGTGGTTCTTCCAATTGGGGGTGATTTTGATTGGGCCGTGTTGGTTACAAATCCTGTGTATGTTGCAGTCGGTTTGCTTGGGAGCAGATGGTTTTAGTTTTTTCTTTCTTGCTCTGTGGTTTTGGGTTCGTCTTCACCCGACCATGTCGGGTTGGGTTGGGTTGGGTTAGGGTTGGGGTTGGGTTAGGGTTGGGTCGCCGCCGTCGATCGCGCCGCCGTCGCTTCGTCGTTCGTCACCGTTGGGGTGGGTTGGGCAGGGCTGGGTAGGGCTGGGTAGGGCTGGGTAGGGTTGGGTAGGGTTGGGTAGGGTTGGGTAGGGTTGGTAGAGTTGGGTTGGGTTGGGTCGGTCGGTCGGTCGGTCGGTCGGTCGGTCGGTCGGTCGGTCGCCGATTGGGCGGCCTTGGGCCGCCTTCGTCGATCGCCGCCGCCGTCAACCGCCCTTGTAGACATGTCGCTATTAGTCGCGTGGGCCTGAGTTGGAAAGCAATCTCTGATTTGAAACGAATCAAGATTTCGGAAAAAAAATGGGAAGAGCCAAATACCCCATGAATCATGTTGAAAAATGACTCTAACTTGTTCAGTCCCGTGCAGTGGATTGATGTGTTCCGACGAGATGTCAACAACAACCATCCGGGCGCGTACAACAATAGCAGCAGTAGTACAGGGCATCGATAATTTCCCGTCATTCATCATATAGATTGTCAAGATATTGCAATGGAGCCGACAGAGAACATATATGCGCGCGTCGAAACAGAAAAAAGTGCAACCCCCAACACGCGGAGGGAAAAACAGCTTCCACCGGGCAGGTAACAGGTGTGCCCCGAACCTGTCGTTGGAAAGCTAATCCTGGCCTCTATGTGGGCCATCCCGTTGTTAATTGGAGAGCATATTTGCTTGCGCAAATTGATCGAAATCGGAGTTAAATTAGTCAATTTACCAATGGATGCATGAATGGATGGATGTGCTCCGACGAGGAGAAGAAAGAGTGAGTCATACTGTAAGAGTCATCATCAATCATCAAGCTAAAGTTGTTCGATGTGCGTACGAAACGCGGCGGAACTACTTCCACGTCGGGCAGTTGTAGCGGTGTCGCCCAAACCCTTCGTTTGCAGACAAGAGTGGTAGACATTCAGCCATTCCAGCTTCGGAAGGGTTGTCGACCCAGCTGAAGGTTGGACGGGGATTCAATTTGGTGGAGGACAGGCAACGTTTAGGCACGAATTCATCGAAATCAGATGAACTTGGTCCCGGAAGCCTCGTGTTTCGTGTTTGAGAAGGTCGGTCACCGACACAGCCAATCATTTTCGCAAAAGGCACCAATCAAGCTGAAACTTTCTGAAGGCGTCTATTGTACTGTAGCGTAGGACGGCCGATGGTCCCGTTCCTCGCGCCTGGGGCGTTTGGCTGACAACCTGCGTGGTTCGGAGCTTCGGACTGAGCGATCATTCATTCATTCACTCATTCGCTGTTCCTTTCATTCAAATGATTCATTCATTCATTCTTCACTCATATAGTATTTTCCCCGTAAACCATGAGACCTCAATATAGTGTAACGGTCTTGTGTAGGACCCCCAGCTGATTGCGCCACCACCTCCACAGGCTCACGACGCCATGG